TCGGTGCCTTGCCGGGCCCCGGCCCTGCTCCACCGGAGGCCTTGGGCAGCCGAGGGCCGAGCACACGGGCCTCGCCTCAGCGTTGACGGTTGCTGCCTGGCTCCCAAGTACCCTGCTCTCCTCGCCCGGGCGAATCCCCCAGTAAGGCCCCCGACACCTGCCTTGTGCCTGACCGTGTTGGGTAAGGCTGTGGAGACGTGATGGCAGCGGGGTATTTCCCACGGCGGCTCGCTTCCTTCCCGGGGGCAGACACTGGGCTGGCGCTGCTCTGCCGACGGCTGACGCAGCTGGCACCTCCGCCCAACAGCGAGGAAATCTCCTGTAACCTAAACCTGAACACCCATGCTCATACTGTGGGATCATTTATTTTGTATTCTTTGCACCACAGTGGCACGTGTTAGGCTCAGCTAGGAGCCGTACAGGCATAAGTCCTTCAACAAAATGTGGCTCTCGGCACATTCGACATGTGGTCATCAAAGTGACATATCTACAATGCAGTCTCTTGGAAACTGTCACTGTTCATGAACGCCCAAAGAGCACCAAGATCATAAAAGATTTTTTCATCTTCAGTTAGTGATCTGTTCCTTTTTTTTTTTTTTTCCCCTGTGGATTTTGTAGACTTGAACCACGGGGGGGGAGGGGGTATTTTTCTTAAGATTCAAAAACTTCCCCAAGAACAAATGTCCTTCTATCGAGTTCAACCAAAAACATTAACAGGCTGCAGTCACTGGCACAAACAACTGCAATCCCTCACTGCACGTATCAGCAATGAAATGGTCCTGCCTAGCTTTATGAGCCCTTCTAGCAAGAAAAATCACCTGCCATGCTCACTGTATTTGTACAGGTAGCAGCAGAAGTGCCTTTTTGAAGCGAGCCTTCAGATCTGAAATGTAACAAAGCTGGTTTCTGTTTATTTATAGGTTTTTCCAGAGAGCTGTGTGAAGAAGAAGAATAACAGAACAGAATAATCAGGGGAAAAGGTAGGCTTTTCTTCCTCAGAGAACCCTTCAATTAAGTTTTCTCCTTTGATACAGGTTCTTAGTAATTTTTACATAGGAGGTTATAGTAAATTAAAATAACACTATAATAGTTTTAATTTTTATCGTATAATCCAGTGTTCTTTTTTTCTCCTCCAAAAATGTCTGACAGTCCAAATTAAACCATTTCTTAGCCTTTCATTCTTCGGCTTTATGGAGCTTTCTTCTCCTCATTACCTGGCTCATTTCTAAATAACTAACAGGAAAATTGACAGATAATGTTGAGCACTGATTTGGAAGGAGACCTGCTCCTGAAGCATCATCAGTTCTCAAAAATCAGGTTTCAACTATTTACCCTTAGGCACAGAAATGCTGGCTAATTTTAAAGATGCTGGTTTAGCTGCGAGAGTTGCACCACCTCCTTGACTTTTACCCTTTTGCAGAAGCTTCTCTCTGTGGCAACTTATGTCAGATATAAAATCTGAACCCCACTGTCACCTTGGTATGGCAGCTTAAAAAATCTTACTGAAGCTGCCACTCAGTCCTCCTGCACCTGAATGCAGAATTTCAATGTCAATACTATTTTGTCTAGCATGCGCCTCTTAGTTTTGGGGTTATTTTTTTCCTTTTGTTTTTAGCTAAGACTAGAAAGTGTTTGGTGATTTGACTCACATAAAAACTTATATAGTAACAAATTAAAAACCATTTTATCTAAGATATTGCCAAGAAACATCTAGAACATAGACCTAAACGTGGTGTTCTTGGAACTGAAAAAAAAGGTAACACAGCAGCCAAGGGCTGTCTGGAGCAGTGACACAAATGTCTTACTGGTATGCAAATAAGTTAATCATCTTACTCCATAAATAGTGGACAGCCCAGGGCCCACTGGGCTCTCCTGCATGGCAGCAGGCTGCATGCCAGGATGTCCCCATGAGCAGGGACACCTCTCAAGGGTGCTCCTCAAGGGTGAGAGATCCCTTGCCGCAACAGATCATCGGTAAGTGACTAATAGCGTGCTAAACTTTGTCATGGTAGCTAAGTGATATAGTGGATTGATTGCACATATATAATCCTTTGGACATAAACCATCGACCAAGTCTGGGACTAAGTTTGGACCCAGCCTCCCCTAGACTCCTCTAAGGGAAGGAGTTTGGATGCAAGGAGGTCCTCGCTGAACGTGGTGACGCAAAGGCAGGGTCTCCCTGACAGTTTTGTCTGACCCTGTCCACTGAGCAGTAAATAACCAAGTCTCCCTTGCCATCAAACCTTGTTAAACCACTGTCACATTTACCATTGAATGTTGTTAGCTCACTGTTTTGTATCAATAAAGTATCTTTGCTTCTTTTTGATGAGTGAAGTGGACTCTCACTCGATCTGCGACAAATTGGTGTAGTCAGCAGGATGGCAAGTAGTATCACCAGTTATTTGCGGAGGCACAGAGTGAATCCCAGTCCCAACTTCTCAGAAGCATGGGCTCGTGACAATTGGCGTAACCGGGAAGCTGTTGAAGAGCTGCAAATGAGGAATGCATTTGTCCTACACATTCCCAGGGCCGCATTCCCAGGGCTGAAGATTCAAGGTCAGCCCACTGCCATAACCTTGAGCCTGAGTGAAGCATTCCAGAAATGCGATAAGGTGCAAGGAAGGGAGCGTATTTCAGCTTCTCTGGCACTAGTGCCCAAAAAGGGAGACAACCCCCTCCTCCCCTTTAGGGAGGAATTGCAGGGCATGAAGTCAAAAAACAAGTAGTTTGGGCTTTGCCTGTCCAGAAAGTGGAGGCTTATCAGTGGGTAAGTGATGATGACCCACACGTTTTAATTCCAGATGGTCCTCAGGGACAATTGGTGACATTTTTAATAGCTACAGGAGCACAAATGTCAGTACTAACACAATAAGATGCCAAGAAGCTGGTTGTGCAGTCCTGGAGTTAAGATGAGCGGTGGGAACAGAGTGGGTGGTGGGTGACAAAGTGCCAGGGTCAAGTTATTGGCTCCCAGGTGAGAAGCGCGTGGCGACTACTTGCTTTGCAATCAAGGATCATCGTGAAAATACTTTAGGTTTCAATGTTTTAAATCGACGAAGCTAGCACTTGCCAAATGGCGGCGTGCGGGCCTTCGGCTCCAACATCCACCCCAACCCCGGCAGAATTCAGGGGGGTCCAGTGCAGGCACTGCGTGTAGCCCCTGCCCTCCCTGAGTCAAAAATCGCTGACCTACCGCAATGTTGGATTTCTGCTGCGGCACGAAATGGTATTTCTGAAGTCATAGCTGATTTGGAGAAACGACAAATTATCTCCAGAACCCACTCCCCGTATACCTCACCAATCTGGCCAGTTCGGAAGCCAGACGGGAGGTGGCGTTTAACAGCCAATTATCGGCGCCTGAAAGCTGATGCAGCCCCGCTGCTGTACCAAACGTTGCAAACTTAACAGCTACTTTGCAAGCAGCTACAGACCCCTGGATGGCAGTGCTAGGTGTAAAAGATACGTTCTTTATGGTTCCCTTAGAGGAGGAGGATAAATAGAATTTGCTTTCACTGGGGAAGGAATACTCGCACAGGGTATTCACCCACAATTGCTCATCTGCACTTGCTGAACTTTTACAGACAGTCGCACTCCCCCAAGAAGTGAAACTACCAATGTATAGATGATACCCTGATTGGGGGAGCTTCCCCTGACACGGTGGGGGAAGCGGCAGCAGCAGTATGGCAAAGCACTAAATAAAGCGGAAATCGAGGTTCCACACGGAAAATGCCAGGGACCAAGTGAAAAAGTAAAATTTTTAGGTGCTTGGTGGATAGCAGGCAGTGCCGCGAGTGACTCCTCCAGACACCTTAAGAAAAATCAAAGAGCTGCGAATGCACCAATCAAGGAAGGAGTTACAGCAATTAATAGGAACTTTAGGATGCTAGAAGCAGCATGTACCTGGATTTTCTATCATTTCTGTCCATTATACTCACTCTTATGGAAAGGCAAACCCTGGGAGTGGAAATCAAAACAAAAAGAACTGGTCAAAACTCTTAACTGAAGAATTAAAAACCTATCAGTCACGGGGACCAGTACACGCCCACAACCCTGTTATAGCCGAATGGGGTTTCCCCGAACATGCTACTTAACTTTAACCGGTTCCAAACTGGCCCTGATGGGCCAAAAAGACCTTTATTGTTTGGCTCTACCACATTTAAAGAAACAGAACAACGATACTCTGAATGGGAAAAGGGACTTTAGTCCGAGCAATTAAACAAGTTGAGAAAATACATCAGGGACAACTTGTGCAAACCAGAGGACTGTTTACTTTACTAGAAGCAATCCTAAAGGGGACTGCTCCCCCAGAAGGAGTTGCACAAAAATCCACTATCAGAAAATGGTATGCCTACCTAATGGGAGTTGCAGAAAATATGCAGTTAACTGAAGGACACAGTAAGGTTTCCAAATTGCAGATGCCCATAAACACAGAGCCTTTAGCGGCACAACAGCCTTTTAAACCTCTACCCATTCTGGATGCACCGCCTCTCACTGAGCGTAGACCAACAGAAAACATTTGTTTTATGGATGCTTCAGCAAAAAGGGTAAACGGTAAATGGCAATACAAGGCCATAGCATTAGATATTGCCACCGGCAAATGAGTAACAGAAGAAGGTAAAGGCAGTGCACAAGTAGGAAAAATAAGAACAGTTGTTTTGGCAGCACAGAATGGAGCAAAAATTATATATGTAGACTCTTACGCTGTGTGGGCCGGTGCCACACAGTGGCTCTGTCAGTGGGGAACCTTGAATTGGGAAGTAAATAGATCCCCAGTTTGGAGAAACAAAAATTGGCAATTGTTACTGGATACAGTCAGGAAAACACCTTTCAAGATGGCATGTATAAAAGCTCATGCTAAGGACATAAGGATAATCAACCAGCCACAAAGTGAAATCAAAAAGTAGATGAGCTAACTAAAATTAGGAAAATCACCTTAAATTCTGAGTAGTATTGATTGGGAGAATGGTTACATCAAAACCTAAGTCACAGAGATAAAGAAGCACTTTACTGCACAGAGGAAAGGCTGGCCAATAAACAGAAAAACTTGTGGAACTATTCTTACAGAATATCCCCAGTGTAGATTGAAATTACAAGCAGATCATCCTTCTAAAGCACTATCTCTACATATCAGTGAAGGGAAAACTTTATGGTCCACGTGGCAAGTTGATGATACTGGACCATTCAGATCCTTGGCAGGATATCGATACATCCTCACAGGAGGAAGCAGTCTCCAGCTTGCTTATGGCGACTAAGTGTCGGAAGGCCGATGGGCAAAATACAGCGGGAGGGCTACCATTTTGGTTCTCGAATCTACCTAGTCCTGATGTTATCCAACGTGATAATGGCTCACATTTTTTGTATAAGGAAATGCAAGATTGGGCAAAACATAGAATGTTTTGGGTTGGAAGGGACCTTTAGAGGTCATCTAGTCCAAACAAAACATCAGGGAGTTAAATGGGTATTCCTAATCCCCTACTACCCTCAATCAAATGGGACAGTAGAAAGAGCTAATCGCTTATTGAAAAGGAATCACAAACCACATGGGGCTAAATGGGCTATGAGACTTCCCAAAGTACTCCATCAATTAAATAATCAATACAGGCCTACTGGAAGCCCTGTAAGCCGACCATTCTTTGTAAAAACGGAGCTCAGTGCTCCACCTGCTAGGAAAAGAGAATACCCGGTGACATTACAGCCAGGACAGCCTGTGATGGTCAATTTACATCAGTACTGTGCCTATGACTTTAATTAAACCTCAAGGCCCACTTGCCTGGGAAGCTACTGATAGCAGTGGTGCAAAACATAAGAATTTAGCACACAATGGACTTCTTCTTTTTAATGAGGTAACCTCAGGCTCTCCTCACTGAAGCAAGTCTCTATTTTCTCTTACAGCACCCCGCAGGACGACAAACGGCAATGCAGTGTTCATGTTACTACCTCAAATGCTAACAATGCTGCTTACAGCCATTGCGGTCTCCTCTGTTAGCATCGGGAGCTAACCAATGGCTCTTACATGATACATTGCCTCAGTGGGAAAGAATTAACAAAAGGGACCACCAATTGATCATGGATGCACGTGGTGCAGCCCAAAATAATGTTTCTCTAGCTCTTAGTTGTATCCAAGCTCAATTGTGCATGCAAGCTATGGTAGCAGCAATTACAAGAGAAGGTGAAGAGGGCACCTTACCCACTGAAATTCAAAAAGTGATTTGGGATAATGCAACTAAATTTGAAAAGGAATTCCAATCCTGGTGGTATTTTGTCAACTTCACTTATGATCCCATCAACGTTAAGGCCGCAGCTTTTGTCTTAACTATACACAATGCTTCAGTATACACCATCTACCCAGTCATTGTGTTAGGATTATATCACAGCGGAACTACATCCATTAGAACATAGACCGTGGGCCCAACAAAATGGAAGCGAATGGCAAACTGTTGATGTTAATACATGCGTTGTACGGGAACAATGAGGACTTATTTGTGAGAGTAACACTATCAAAGCCCAAGACATTTATCTTGACACTGAACAAAAATGTTTGTTGTCCCAATGAAGCCCCTGAAGCTATATTTGTACTTACTGGAAAAGGATGCATTTGTATGAGAACCCTTTGTGATTTTATATTTGTAAATACTTTTCTTGGATGGTCACCAACAGCAACGGGAGCATTTAATCTTATGCTTTGCCCAGTTGTGACTTCCTAACTCTAATATGTCTATTGCTTATAATTATATTGTATATAAAGGTTTGGTACATGATTAAACAAATAAATACAGAGCAGCCCAGGGCCTGCTGAGCTCTCCTGCACGGCAGCAGGCTGCACGCCAGGATGTCCCCACGAGCAGGGACACCTCTCAAGGCTACTCCTCAACTCCTCCCCCTTAGACATAAACTGTTGACTAAGTTCAGGACTAAGTTTGGATCCAGACTCACCTAGACTCCTCTAAGGGAAGGAGTTTGGATGCAAGGGGGTCCTCGCTGAACCTGGTGACACAATGGGAGGGCTTCCCTGATGGTTTTGTCTGACCCTGTCCACTGAGCAGTAAATAACCAAGTCTCCCTTGCCATCAAACCTTGTTAAACCACTGTCGCATTTACCATTGAATGTTGTTAACTCACTGTTTTGTATCGATAAAGTATCTTTGCTTCTCTCTTATGAGTGAAATGCACTCTCACTCCATCTGCAGCACACTGCTTCTGAAGGACTCTAAAATATTAACTTCCACCATTTGTGCTTCAAGGAGTTTTCAGAGAGTATTTTTCCTGTCAATCCCATTATATATATAAAGCCTTGTATAACTGAATTTAAAGTCCAGTCATACTTTTTATTGACATCAGTAGTTGTTGTACATGCTGTTATGTACTGTATATACGTGCATCGTATAACCTGTGTATAAAAATACTTGGAGTGGCTTTACAATATTAAGTAACAGAGGTGCAGAGTGCTCCTGAGAGGTAGATATTTTAGTCACCATTTTGTCAAGACAGACCCTCAGGTGCAGATGTGAGTGTCCTTATCATGAGAGCTGCCTCAGCGTGGCCGAAGGCTGGTGGCCAGCTGTGCCAAGCGCTGCAGTGCTCAAACCCCCCTGAACCCTCCAGCTGTCCGCCTCTCAGCCAGCCCACATCAGCACACAGTAAAGCCAGGCTCCACAGCTGCCACCGCCATGTTTCAGGGTCTTCCACCCCTTCCCGGCGCTAGCCCCGAGCCCTGGCTGTGGGGGATCCCGGGGCAGAAGCTAGGGAGGGCCGCGTGCCCTCAAGGGTACATTTACTTGCCATGTGGATGGTCCCTATGTCATGTGTCCGGCCCAGCAGCTTCCAACTCTTTCATGGGTTGGTGACATGACCTCATGTCACCAGCGCTGGGAGTACATAGTGGCCTGGACTTCTTCCTGGGGACATCTGACTTCACGTACCACAGGGGTAAACAAAGCCGGGCAGCCTGTGAGGAGAGCGGGGATATGGGCTGCTAAGTCTGAGGATCACCCGAGGTTTCAGGTTCTTCCGTAGACTGGAAGCTCAGAGAGACGAAGTCACGCAGTACAGTTTCAGCTGGCAAAAATACAGCTGCTGCAGACTGCCAGCTGTCTCATTCAAACGACCCTACCGCCGATCCAGACAACAGCCTTTTAAAAGAGAGCCTTACCTAGTTGAATTAGGCAAGCAGTAGTCCCCGATACTCAAAATATTCACAAAGCCCCACGGCGGGGAGGTACCAGGCTGTCCTCGGGCAGACCCAGGATGCGGTAACACCATACACATATGCAACCCTCTGGTAACGCCTTTTCCATCCCCGTTCTGTGCGTGCTTGCACGCACCCAAGATAATGCACAATTCAAATAGGCTTCCTCCTCCTTACAGATTTTTTTATGGTAGGTTTGGGAACCGAGATAACGTTTAATTTGTTGAAAAAAAGAGACTGGCATACTCGGACATCTTTTCTAGGCAGGACAGACCAGCGTGGGCCTCCCGGGAGGCTTAGGCCGAGCTCACGGGGGCCCGGCAGTGCCAACGCCGCACTTCCCCGGGCAGGGCAGAAACTCGGGGGTTTTTTTAATTAAAAAGCACCACTGCAAGGTGCTCAGACCCGGCACCCTGAAGGGCAAGGACGCTCGCGGAAGGAGCGGCTTCTATTCATACATGATTTGTGCAATTTTCTCCCCAAAACGCCGCTGTTTCGGGAGCTCCTTACGTGCTGCCACCGAGGCTGGCGGCCGGAGCCCCGGCGGGCCGGTCTGGGAGGTGCCGTGCTTTTTAACT